CCCCAAAACCCCAAAACCCCAAAACCCCAAAACCCCAAAACCCCAAAACCCCAAAACCCCAATCAATTATATTTTAAAGTCCTAATAGAAATATAATATGATTTGAGTATTCCTACTCTTTTACTATTTCTCCCATAAGATTCACAAATCCTGGTAGAACCTTCACTGTGTAATCATTGCTTCTGTAAGGTTCTCCATCTGAGCAGAAGTAAGAACCAGATGGATTTCTAAATCTTAACTCAGTCGCTTTCTGATAGAAAAATTTTTCGTATCCCACCTGAGTTCCTTTAGATGCCTTTGAGAGGAAATTTAGAGCTTGAATTCTTGTACATTTCTTCACCCCAAAAATATACATGAAACCATCATCAATCCTAGCAAAAGGAGCATTGACATCTTTGCCAACTGAGGATCTATTTTCATGGGTAATGATCACATGGAACGAGAACTCATCAATATCGATCTTTCTCCATTCACTTTCAGACTTATAATTTTTTCAGTTACTCTTAGTCTTATATTCTGAGACCTTCGGAACGTTTACTCTAGAGTTAGTTCTTTGGTCTTTTTCTGTATTTGAGTCTTCAGTCCCTTGATCTTCGTAATCCTCTAGCTTGTAATACACTTCACTTTTATAGACTGGGAACTTTTTAGGGCTAATAAATTTTGGAATAGCAGTAGCAATGTATCTGTATCTTCCAAAAAAGTCTCTTAAATTTTCAGATTCACGCACCAAATCACTGGGGAGTCCATAACTCAATGCAGTTGAATAGATTGATTGTTTAGAGTCATTCATCTTTACATTAAAGACATCTCCCTTTAGTAATGATTTATTTGCAATATTTTTACAAGCAGTGTAAGGATTCTTTCCTGAAAGTGCTCATCACAAGGAATTAGTCGAGCCTCCAGGCATTAGCCCGATAGGAAATTGAATCATTTTTCTCTCAGGATACTTCACTATAGCATTTAGCAGTTGGCTAAACACTCCATCTCCTCCAATTACAACAAATTCATTGAAAGAGTGTTCCTTAAGATTAAGCTCTGAGATGAATTCATCAATGTACGTCGCACTCTGTGTTTCATACATTTCATGCTTAATTCTATTAAATTGAAGCACTGGCTTAAGTATGTCTGAGTAATATTCTCTGGAGACTTTCTTCCCACTAATTGGGTTAACTAGAACACAAATATTTCTTTCAACCCCTTCTCTATGGGTGCAATTGTATGAGGCTCATTTCAGTTTAGCCTTTTTAAACTCTTCTTCATTTCTGAAATAATAGTTAAAAGTTTCAAATTTTTCTGATTTCTCTTCAAAATTCATAATGGAGAGTCGATAAGTAGCGCCTACATCATTGAGCAAATAGTCTTCAAAGGTTGACACTCCATAAACGTTATCACAGCTGATGATTGTCTCTCATTCTAAAAGAACATAAGTTAGTTTAAGTTGGTTCAGCTAAACTGTGAACAAATGTTCATAATGACGTACTTTTTGACAGTTTTGTAGAACCACTTAAGGAAATTTCCCTACGTTCCATCGTAAAGAACAATTTTCCTGGCTGGAAGTATAAATCAACTTCCTTTCCATCAATTGGGCTATCTTTCCATACACTTCCAAGCTTATATGAAAGCAGCTCGTCGTTTTGTATTTCAATTGCACTGTTACCCATATTCAAAATTACTAATTTATTATTTCACTCAAATTTTAGCTTCTTGGGGTTTTGGGGTTTTGGGGTTTTGGGGTTTTGGGG